CATAACACTGTTGCAGGAAGAACATTGCGTTATAATACTGTTTAGAAGTTGGCTGAAAATTTCGAATTTTATGGAAATATCCCGCAAGGTCTGGAACCTTTAGCACAACAATATCCTACATATATTAATGATTAAAATTTTGCAGAAGATATGCAACATTTGCCAGCAGTATATAAAGCTAATTCTGGAAAAGCAAAATGAAATCTCTAGAACTGTTAAATTTGACAGACAACAAATTGTGAGATAATCTACATCCAACAGAAAGGCCTTTGATCAGGAGGTTTTGAGGAACATGGAAGCATCTCTTAATTACTAATGTTCCCAGGTCTGCCCTGATCCAGGGTTGTAGCACTTACGAGGGCCCCATTTATGGGCAAATAGTTAACTCCCAAACTCAGATCAAAACATTATGAAAGTGTAAAACTAGGTTTTAATACCAGCAATATATTCTTGGAAAAAATATTATCAGCAATACATTTATGAAAAAAATATATTATCAGTAATAATAATGCTGCTGGCATTAAATAACCCATTAAGGTTAATATTCCCTAAGACAAAATAAACGACGCCCCCAAATAAAAAAAAATATATATATATATTTTCAAATCTTTGTATTAGTTTGAGAATATTGTTGAAAATTCATGCTACAGTAGCAGAAACTTAAAGATCTTAAAGATCTTTCAGTAAACTCAAACTTATCAAAACTTATCTGAGATTTACTATGTAAAGCAGACTTGTTTATCTTGCACGACTGTTTTCAAATCTGAAAGTTACTTTTCTTCATCTATTTAGAGCATGTGATAATAAGTCTTCGTAAACAAAATAGTCTTTGCAATTGCAAAACTATTTTTGATAGTTTCTTATTAGTAAGTAAAGGTTGATCATCTCTGAATATTCAAAATCCAGTCAATTTCAAAGGCTCAAAAATGTATTTGCTGTTTTTTTATTTAAAAGTAAAAGTTGATCATCTCTTGATTCTCAAAATCCAGTCTTTGTCAAAGGCTCAAAAAGGATGTTATTTGATCATCTCTTGATTCTCAAAATCCAGTCTTTGTCAAAGGCTCAAAAAGGATGTTATTTGATCATCTCTTGATTCTCAAAATCCAGTCTTTGTCAAAGGCTCAAAAAGGATGTTATTTTTAATTAAAAGTAAAAGTTGATCATCTCTTGATTCTCAAAATCCAGTCTTTGTCAAAGGCTCAAAAAGGATGTTATTTTTAATTAAAAGTAAAAGTTGATCATCTCTGGATTCTCAAAATCTACTCAATTTCTAAGGCTCAAAAAGGATGTTATTTTTTATTAAAAGTAAAAATTGATCATCTCTGGATTTTCAAAATCCAGTCTCTCCAAAGGCTCATTATGTTATCTAAAATCATAATAGAATATTAAGAACAATAACATTAACATTAGAAATTTTAAGTTTAGTGTAATTAAAATCCAAGATTTTTAAAAAATAGTAAAGAAAATATATTGATTGTGAATGTTAATAAGTTTGGTGACTTCCCTTTTTTTCTTTTATATGCCAGCTCCCTTAAGGAAGTCGGTGATCATGGCTCACCACAACTTCTCATCCTTTGCAGTTCTAAGCAGCAAGGCCTCTGAGAAGTGGAGTCAAGCTGGTACTTTGTTCTGGGGCCAGAGAACTAAGAAGGGCCCTTGGAACGGATCTAGCACGACTGAGTATTGAATCTGGTATTGCCAGACAAATTGATTTTGATAGTGTTATTAAAAATGTTGCAAACAAAACAGCCAGAAAAGCATATTTTGTTTAGTACACTAGTTAAATTTGTCTTTTTTATTTTTGTTTTTTGAGAAAAGTGTTTTCCTTTGAAAGAAATTATTATGAACGTTTAAAGAACATTTCTCTATGACAGAACCTAAAATGGCGATTGGTGAAAGCAACCGTAAATACTGATTTACTTTACTGCATTAACTGAATACGTTTCTTGCATCATGTTATATCTGACGATAGAAATAAAGCGTCTATGAGGGTTTGCATGCAGATTTGCTGGGTATGAGATACTCAATTTTGAGAAAAAATCTTTGCCTACCTCGTGGCCCCAAAGGGGTCTTGTAACGCCTTGCAAAATTTCTCTAGCAGGCTCTGTCCATGCTTATGAACACAATGTTTATCTTATGGGCCACAGCTATCACTCGAGCTAGATCTCTTTCTCCAATTTATTCTATCGGAAGATCTTTCTGCAACAATTGATGGATTCTTCCTTTATCTCTCGCATCGTTGAAATCTGGTCACCTTTCAAGACCAGAACAATTTATCGAGATCTCAATGTATCAATGTCAAGAAGAGATCTCTTCCTTTTTTCGTCCGCATAAATAAAAAAAAAATGTATGTTTCAGCGAAAGTTATTTATTTACCTGCCAGTGAACTACTGTCTCTATTCAATAATGTCTGCATCCATATTCCTTTTGATCAATTTACTGCGTTTATTTATGATATTATTTATGCTTTGTCACTTTCGTGGTTAGGATATATTAAAAAAAAAGTGTCAAAATCTTCTTTCATTCAAGTTACAACATATACCATATCGAATATATTGCAAGATAAATCGTAAACTGGCATAAAATAAATTACCATAGTGTCTCACTTCCACTATCTCCATATTATTCATATCTATCTATCTATCTATCTATCTATCTATCTATCTATATATATATATATATATATATATATATATATATATATATATATTTAGAAAATATGATTTCAACTCGCGACATAAGAGGTTTCATGTTTCAAAACAAGAGCCGAAAACTTCAATATAATTATTTGAATTAAATTGAATTAAAGTAAGTTCTTTTCCATCTTCAAGCGAATTTTTTTTTTTTTTGAATAACTTATTTCTGAAATTTACGTGTTTTAATAGTATATTCGAAATTGAAATCAACATTTCCATGGTAACAGCCAGGGCGGATTGTTCAAAATAGGTAGGGGGTGTTGAGTGTTAATAATACGTATCAGTATAAAGTTACATTCATAAATGTCAAGTCAGGGTAAGGTGGGGGTGTCTAAATTTAAAACGGAAGATGTTTTCATCTAGTCTGGTTTACGTGTCTATGGAGATTTATTTATTTTTTTTATTTTATTTCTTTATGAAAGGGATTTGTGCATATAAAAACTGCCGTAACATTTGTTTTTAGACGACTTCATAAAGGGTTATCTTTTTTTGTAGGGTATTTAAACTATTTATTTGGGCTATGGATTATAAAAGTTATATTGTATGCTTGTATTTAGCTAAATATTCAGTGCATAAATTTGATATATATATATATATATATATATATATATATATATATATATATATATATATATACGTGTAACCTAATTCCTAGAAATAAGTCATCCACTCAAAAATGTACCATATACAAAATGAATACTGTTTACGAATTCTTATGTCCTTTGGGAGATTGAATCCCTAACATTAATAGTTAAAAAGCAGCATTACATCCTTACACTGACAACATGTACGGCACACTATCAAAAGCGAACGTCCACACAGATATAAACTATATAAGCAACCACTTTTATATAAACAAAATAAAGCATCGATTAAATTGTTTAATTGTGACCAGATACATCCTAATTATAAACCAGACGAAAAAGGCTATTAAAGTTATAATCTGTCGATATATAACACTTATTGATCGTAGCAAATAACTTAGATTAGAAAAATAAGAAATATAACCATAGCAAATTTAAAACCAAAGGAAGAAAAAAATCACTAAAATTTAAGATCACGAAGAATATGTTTAAGATTACTGGGCAGTTAAAAAATTATATAATAATAATAGCGTTCATATTGTATTTGTCTTCCGTGGTAAATAATTCCAAACATTAGTTACTCTTCATCTTTGAGGACACTGTCCAGCACTCATTACCATAATAATATTTTAAAATGCTAAAAAGAAAACTCTGGTCAATACTAGAAAGAGATATAACAGTGGACTTGAGAAATCTTTTTTCCTGAAAAACTGTTTTATTGGAACGATAAATTCCAATTGAAAATAACGCTCACCGTTCGATCACTGAATACGAAATGTTTCCTTATAAGGAAACAGTTAATATCACCATTAACATTTTCCTCGATTCCATTAATCTTATGGTGACACCACCACATTCAATTTAGGTTTTAATCATTCATAGAAATGACGAACATATGTGAAAGTAAAAAAAAATGCTGATTAATCAGCGAATTTTACTATTTTTCTATTGCTTCATCTATGTGCTATATCCTTTCAGTACGTTATTGATCATGGCTCTCCACAATTTCCTGTCTTTTATAGTGCTTAATAAATTGTGTCTTTGTGTTATATCCCCTAAACTCTGTTCTGCCATTTATTTAGTCAACCCCGTTAATTAGTTTATGCATTGTTTTCCTCCATCGCTCTCTTCCTCTTAACATCTATCTCTCCTGTGAGTACCAATTTTTCCAATCCCCCTTTCCTCGTTATATTCCCTAGAAATGTCGTCAACTATCTCTTTCTTTTCTATTTAAAAGTTGTTAATCCAAGAAGATTCGGCCCATTTAATATCTCACACGTCTTCATCTTCTCTAGGTGAACACCTTTTATATTGTTATAGAACACATAATGTCATAGCGATTTCACTTTCTAACCATCTCCCGTAATTATCAAAGCTATAAGAACCAATCACCATTATTACTTATACAATCTTAACGGTTTATACGTCTTTTATCGTCGCAGACTCTACCTTCATTTATTCCAAGTGCCTTCGTCTCCTTTATTATCTTGAAGTCCATTCAAGGTTGGCGCTATTTATACTAGCAGCACCAATTACACAAATCATGATCGTAAGTCTATCGTTAGCCATAATGGCAAAATGACCGGAAGTAAAAGAATTATCCTTAAGTGACCAGAAATTAAGCAATGTTGAACGAAGAAAAATGGATTGTATTTAAAGCGAAAAAGAGACGACGGCAGGAGTTAGGGTGAGAGTAGTTATGGAAGGGTGAGTGATGGTTTTAGCGTGAGGAGATGATAAGGAGGAAGAGATGTGAGCAAAAAGTTAGGCGATTAACCAGAGGGAGTGAAGGAAAATGAGAAAAGAAATAGAAAATAAAGAAATATCGAGTAAAAGAAAGCGAGAAAGAAACAAAGCAAAAAAAGAAAGAAACAACAACAAAAAAGGAACGGAAACGTGAAAAATGATGAATGAGAAAGTGAAGAAGAAAACATGAAAAAAATACAGAGGAATGGGAAAGGGAACAAAAAGGAAAAGCAATGACCGAACTGAAAAAGGAAGAAGGAAAAGAGGAAGGAAGGAAGGAAGGAAGGAAGGAAGGAAGGAAGGAAGGAAGGAAGGAAAGAGGGGAGGGAGAGAGGGAAGGATGAAGGAAGGAAGCGAGGAAAGAAGAAAAGGTGGAAGAGAGGGAAGAAGAAAAGAAAGAAGGAAGGAAGGAGGAAGGAAAGAGGGAAGGAGGAAGAAGGAAAGAAAGGGTGGACGAGAGGGAAGAAGAAAAGAAAGAAGGAAGGAAGGGAGGAAGGAAAGAGTAGAAGGGAAGAGGGAAGGAAGAAGGAAGGAATCGCTTCCTTCCTTCCTTCCTCCTTCCCTCTTCACTGAGGTGAGGGAATGGTCAGAAGAAAAGAAAGAAGGAAGGGAGGGAGGAAGGAAAGAAGGGAAGGAGAGAGGGAAGGAGGAAGGAAGGAAGCGAGGAAGGAAGAAAAGGTGGATGAGAGTGAAGAAGAAAAGAAAGAAGAAAGGAAGGGATAAAGGAAAGATGGGAAGGAGAGAGGGAAGGAGGAAGGAAGGAAGCGAGGAAGGAAGAAAAGGTGGAAGAGAGGGAAGAAGAAAAAAGAAGGAAGGAAGTAGGAAGGAAAGAGGGGAGGGAGAGAGGGAAGGAGGAAGAAGGAAAGAAAGAGTGCACGAGAGGGAAGAAGAAAAGAAAGAAGGAAGGAAGGGAGGAAGGAAAGAGGGGAAGGAGAGAGGGAAGGATGAAGGAAGGAAGCGAGGAAGGAAGAAAAGGTGGATGAGAGTGAAGGAGAAAAGAAAGAAGGAAGGAAGGAAGGGAGGAAGGAAGGAAAGAGGGGAAGGAGAGAGGGAAGGACGAATGAAGGAAGAAAGGGTGGAAGAGAGAGAAGAAAAGAAAGAAGGAATGAAGGGAGGGAGAAATAGAAGAAGAAAGAAAGGATAGAGATAAAAATGATAAATTCAAGAACTTAAGAAGGAAATAATGAAACAAAAAAAGGATGGAAGCGAAGAAGGAGGAGGAGAAGGAGAAGAAAGGGAGGAAAGATAGGAATAGAAAAGTAAAGAAAGCTTAAAGAAAGATATAAGGGAGGAAAAAGACATGAAGAACGTGAGAAGAGTGAAGAGGTAAGAAAATGGACTAGCATATCGGAAAAGGGAAGAAGAGAGAAAAAAAGAATCATTGGAAGTTAAGAATAATGGAATGGAAGGAAGGAAAAATAAGAAATCGAGAAATAAGAAATCGAGAAGCTAAAAGAAGTATCGAATGAAAGAAGTGAGAAAATTGACGAAGAAGAAGAAAATAAGTAAAGAAAGAAAGAAAGAAACGGAAAAATCAAAAAGAAAGAAAAAAGTAGAATAGGAACTTAAAAAATGGGAGAAAATATAGTTCTGCCTTGATAGTAAATCTGATCATTTCGACAAGGTCAAATTGGCATCTGATATCATAAACTACCTTCAGTCTGTTGTTAACTGGAGCAAAGAATGGCTTGTTAATTTTAACACACCCAAAACAAAACTGCTCTCTATCATCTGAGAGACTTCTTTCTGCCTTCTACCGGTCAGGCTGATGCTAACCCCCAGAGGAGTGACATGTTGCCCCTTCACGGTTGATATGAAGTGGAAAGACTATATTTAATCCATTGCTAGACCAGCTGCTAAGAAAGTTGGTTGACTGTATCGTGCTAGACAATTTTTCTCTCCATAACCTATCGTACATATCTATTCAACCTTTACTGTCACTTATGCTCCGATACTCTAGCTATATATTTAGACCTCCTTGATAAAATATCAGCAATATTATTGATCCAGATCTGGCTGCTCGGCTTCAGTCACTTATCCACCGCAGTAAAGTTGACTACTTGTTGCTTTTCTATAATTACTTCCATTGTATTTTTTTCGGCTGAGCTCTTCTCTATGGCACCAAGACTTTTTTGAATTTATGCACAGTACTTAACTGGCGTCGAAGTCTCATCAGTTTACAATTCAGTTGGCTAGATGTAACCGTATGATCTATGCTGACAGTTTCTTTTCTCGCACTTCTCGATCGTTGAACTCTCTTCCGCCTCCAAGGTTTTCAGTCAAATTTAATTTTCAAAAAATTAAATGCACTGTCAATCGTTATCTAATGTTATCCTAATTACTATTCTTCTGTACTCTCTCCTTACAGGAGTTTCTGTTTTCAAATTCTTCCACACACAGTAACCCCTTGTGTCTCAGTGACTTTATTGCCTTGCTTGATGTGAAATTTAAAAATGTTCAAGAAAGGAGGGAAGAAAGAAAGAAAGAAAGAAATAAAGAATGAAAGCAAGAAAGAAAAGTCGGTAGAGGCTATATGAAGAGGACAAAAGAAAAAAAGTAGACAGCATTGAGAAAATGGCAAAATAGCCTGTCTTAATGCCATGGCATTCCAGGATGTAGGCGATCATGTTTCTCTTGTCGTAAATTACAATGATTTTCTGTGAAATTCTTTTGAAACTACATAGACTATTGTCTAGTATATAGGATAGGTCAACACTTCACCACGTTCGTTTTTATTAATATAGTTTCCGTAACATGACATTTTTACAGGTCGAGTTGTTAGCCACGAGCACAACCAGGTTTTAAATAAGAATTCTCGTTTTCCTAAACTAATTGCCAGCCAAATCTAAAGAACTCAGTCCACGCTGCAATTAACAACTTGCATGACGTGGAGGAGAATAGATGAATTCATATTTCAATGACATTTGTTCAAAAGTGAACACAGCGTCTTTAATTTTTAACTTGGCACGGCACTCCCTATTACCACCTATTACTACTAATCTGCACGCACATACAGAGTGTAACAGCAAAACTGTCCAAATAGTGGAACCGCATAATTGTCCATCCCAAAAAAATGTTTAATATCTAAAAACAAAAAAAACACTCAACTGACTTTCTTTTCCCCAGGTTTTCACGTAAGATTTTTAGCCATCATTTTTCGTAAGAATCACTGAAAAACACCCAGTTATTGAAGAGAGCAGGTTAAAATCGTTTTGTGTCAGTCCAATTCTCTTACCAACTGAGCAATGGTGGGAGGAAAAAGATAATACTCACAGGGCAGATAGATGTTAAGAGGGAGAGAGAGAGATATGATCACGTCGTCGTCACGTGACGACGACATGATCATATTTAAACGGAACGCTGATCTTATAAAAGATTTCAGTTATCTGTTTGGATTGGTATTGCTTTTATGTCCATCGTCTTTTTCAAGTTGAATTGAATATGGTCTATGTTAATTATGTTTTATGAATATGTCCTGAAGATGGTCTATTAGACTGAAACGTCCGACGTTGACGTTAAACATTAAAACAGCATAATCGCATATTAGGATTTTTGTTTGTTTTTTCCGTATATTTTTTTTTATATATATATATATATATATATATATATATATATATATATATATATTTGAACTTTATTTCAAACCTGAATGTGCTTCCGATCCTTATCTATGATTAATTAATGGTTAAAATGTCATTTTCATTTATGATAGATTTCATTACGATTCTTCTGTTAAGCTTGGAGATTGATTATACGTTCTTATTGCTCAGAGTCCGATAGAGTTATAAAAAAAACTCGGAGAATTCCATTAATATATCTTTAATCATTTCAAAGATACAACTCTTCAGAGCTTAATCTAACAATTAAACAATTTTGCTTTTACACGATTTAGACAATTTTGCTGTTACACAGGTTATATAGAGTATAGTTATTGCAGCAATAAATCTTTGACACAACTTTTATTAAATTCAACCGAAAAAATCTGTTTGATTACTATTTAATGTTTAACAAAGTTGTAAGCTGCCTAAGCCTCTTGTGAACATGCACAGCTGGTTAAGGTCACGTACCTGAAAAACGAATCTATTGTAGATGTACGCCATCGTAAAGACAAAAGTAATTCATGTTAACACGTCATTTCAATTAAAATCAATTGTTGAAAGACCATTTTCCCCATAAGAATCTATCTTACACGTCTAAAATTCTACCAATTGTCCATGCATTGAATATTACTGCCAACTCTGGTCTGATGCTTTTGCTATGTAAGTAGATATTCTTGATAAAATACAAACAAGAATCTGCAATGTTATTACTTCTGACCTGGCATATCAGCTTCAGTAATGTCTCCATTGCCATAACGTAGCTTTCCTATTACCTTTTCTTTCATGCTAATTGTTCTGATGAGTTTTCATCTTTGGTGCCTAGACTTTATGAATTTAAACGCTGTACAGTATTTGACAGTTGACATGGGTAGATGTAACCGTAAGTTCTATGCTAATAGTGTCTTCTCTCGCACTTCTCGACCGGCTTCTCATCGTTTTCTTGTGTATTCTTAATTCCTGTTCTTTTCTTTTCTCTCATCCTGATAATGTTTCCTTTCTCTTATTCTTTTACCCTCATTAATCCAAACGTTTTAGTGGCTTTATTCCCTTGCCTGAGGTGAAACCATTACAAAAATAGAATAGAGGTGTATAATGTGCATTACATAAACATCCTGGGGAATAGTAGAAAAATAGAGGATTCTAAAGAATAATAGAGAATTATATATATATATATATATATATATATATATATATATATATATATATATATATATATATATAATTATTTATTTATTTTAAATAAATAATTATATTTATGCTCTACTTTTGTATCGAGCACTATTTTTAGAAAAAATAACTAAAATACTAAGGAACTTTTTTAGATTATTTACCTAACCAGTTCTTCCTATTTTCTATATATTTTCACACACACACA